GGTGCTTGTGCCAGGTGAACAGACCTGGGGGAAGGGGCAAGGAGCCAGCAGCGATTGTGAGATGCCTTTATCCATCCATTTTCCTCAAGACAAAGTACCATGCTGTGCCCCCTGACAACCTTCAGCCCATCTGCATGAAGGTCCTAATGTTTTGTTTTCTTTGCTGGTGGGCAGCATGTTTTAAAGCAATTCTCCAGCTCTTTCTTCCCCATGTGTGCACGGCTGAAGGGGGTACCGCACACAGCAGCACACTTCTCCACTGCAGACAGCAGCACGCTTCCCCTGAGCTTACCAGGAGTGAGTTAGCCCAGTGCTGGAGGCATCTGGCCCTGTAAGAACAGTGTCCTGCATGGACTGACCCACTGTCCTCTCCAGGATGCCGGACTAGCGCACAGAGGGTGTTGTGGTGGTACAGCTACACCACCTCTGATACCTGAACTGTGCACTGTGCCCACAGATACCCAGCAAGTGTTGAACCATTTTTTGGCTGTTACTGGCAAGTTCATTGTCCTTACCAACATGTCTCATCCACGCTTCTTAAGAGATCAGGACAAACCTGGATGACTGTGCTGGTTTTCCTGGGATAGAGTTAATTTTCTTCACAGTAGCTGGTGTGGGGCTATGTTTCAGATTTGTGCTGATAACAGCGTTGGTAGCAGAGGGATGCTTTCGTTATTGCTGAGCAGTGCTCACACAGAGCCGAGGCCTTTTCTGCTTCTCCCCCCACCCCAGCAGCGAGCAGGCTGGGGGGGCACAAGGAGTTGGGAGGGGACACAGCCGGGACAGCTGACCCCAACTGACCCAAGGGATGGTCCAGACCGTATGGCGTCATGTTCAGTATATAAAGCTGGGGGAAGAAGAAGGAAGGGAGGGACGTTCGGAGTGATGGCATTTGTCTTCCCAAGTAACCATTACAGGTGGCGGAGCCCTGCTTTCCTGGAAATGGCTGAACACCTTCCTGCCCATGGGAAGTGGGGAATGAATTCCTTGGTTTGCTTTGCTTGTGCGTGCCTGACTTTTGCTTTACCTATGAAACTGTCTTTATCTCAGCCCATGAGTTTTCTCACTTTTACCCTTCTGATTCTCTCCCCCATGCCACTGCGAGGGAGGTGAGTGAGCAGCTGCGTGGTGCTTAGTTGCAGGCTGGGGTTAAACCATGACAATGACTTTTAAGTAAACTTACCTTCTTGGCTCCCCTGCCTGCAGATTAGGTGAAGAATGCAGTCATTAAACCTGTGGTCTGTTTACAAGCTTCAAAAATGTCAATCTCGGGCATCTGGTAGGACTGCTTCCAGATAACCCAACCTGTGAGATGGCTAGGGCACAGCAGGTAGAGGTAGAGCAAGGACACTCAGGGTAAGAGATCCACCTGGTAACTGATAGCAGTTGGAGACTGGGACAAAGGGTTTGAAATAAAGCACAGCTTTTCTTTTCAACAGCTTTGTTCAGCTGTTCAATACAGCTAAGTTTTTTTTAATAACTTGGTATCAGACACTCACCAATGCTAGGAATAAACCTGATCAGAGCCCAGGGAAGGAGAAAGAGGAGGGCAGAATCATGGGAACATCAGGAGAAATACAAAACCAGTAGAAAATACACAAAACAAAATACAGATGGGACTTCAGAAATGTAAGACCTGGTGAACACTGCTGTGCAGGTGTCTCATTGCAGACTGGTTGGTCCTGGGAATAAATGGCATGGTCCTGCTAAATAAGGTTACCTGAATCTAAATTCACAGAGAACCATTGCCCCACTGCAATTAAGGTCCGGGCTGTGCTTTACTGAGCTTGGACAGGGATTCCTGCAGAAATCACAGGATCATGAGGCTGGTGGGGACCTGACATGGTTATTTTGTCCATCTATCTGCTCTGAGGCAAGATCTTCCTATCCTTAGATCATCCTTGGCAAATTATGTCCTGCTTTTCCTTAAAACCTTCTATTGTACAAAATATCCCCCTGCCCTAGGTAGCCTGTTTGAGTATTTTACTATCCTTTAAGTTAGAAAATCTTCCTGAATATCTAAACGAACTCTGAAAATCTCATTGCTTAATCTAACAAGAAATTAGTCTGATTTCCCCTTGTCTCTAATAAGAATAGGCGAAAAATAATAGTTGACTGTCTTCTTTTGTGTATTGTAAGAGTTACTATGTTTCCCTTCAGCCTTCTCTTTTCTAGTTTAAACAAACTCAGTAATCCAACTTTTCCTCATGGGTCATATTTTCCAAACTTCCCATCTCTTGCCGTTTAGGTCACACCTTCCTAGAGCCTGAACTCCAGCCAAGGACTTGCTAACACCGAGTCAAGTGGAATAGTTTCCTCCCATCTTACAGATCCCACCAGCCTTCTGCTACTGTGGCTCAGAATGACCGTCACATTTTTGGCAAGAGGAAACTCAACCTGCAGTTAGCTGCGTGTCCTTCTCTGTCATACACCTGCTTGGTCACTACCTCCCCATTTTGTATTTGTTTCCTCCAGCTACTAAGTGCAGCATTTTACTGAATTTCATAGTCATTTCAGACTATTAGGCCAGCATCCTAAAATCATACTGCATTGTTTCTTTCCTCTAAAGCAGGTGCTTCCATCAGCTCAGTGTCATGAACACCTTTCAGTTGTCTTCTCCATCCTGTTATCCAAGCTGCTAACTAAAACATTAATATTTTGGGTCCCCCGGGATGGACAGCAAACCACTGACACCTACTTGGGGTTCAACTCTTCAGCCCGTCGTAAAGGAATCCTATTTCTCAGTGTCTTAGTATCTCATGGGGAGCTCTGTCAAAAGCCTAAATGTGCCACATTAGCTGCTTCTCTCTTGTTCCCTGGAGCATCTCCCTGTCAGGGAGGAAATGAGATTGGTTTGATAGGATCTTCCTGTGACAGATTCATGTTAGTTGCTCCTTATCACTTTATTATCCCCTAGGTACTTACAAACTGACTGCTTAAGAATTTTCTCTCACATCTGTCTCTGTATGCGAGTTGAGTTGACTGGCCTGTAATTCCCCGAGTCCTTTTTTGCCTTTTCAGGTGCTGGCTCCACAGCTTGGTGGACTGGGGCTGGAGGCGTCCCACACGGTTTGGGGAGCACTTTGCAAGCTTAGGCTGTGGTGGTAGTGGTGGGCATCCTGCTGAGACTCAGGTCCGGAGACTGGAGGTCATATGCCTGTAAATGAAATGCACCTCACCCTGGATGATCAAAATAGAGACAACTAGTAGCACCACCCAGGTAATGATACGTCTCTTGAGTTTCCTTCCCCTGGAGAGTTACAGGAGGCGTTGGTTGGTAGTAGGCAGTCACCTACTTACAGTGGATTGCACTTTATATCTTTGTGTACAAGCCTTTTGCCACAAGAATGTCCACAAAGGACACAGCTGGACTTTGTGTAAGGGCCAGGTACAAGACCCTTAGAAATGGGCACTGCTTCTGAAAACCAGGGAGTGGAATGTTTGCAAGTACATCACATCCAGGGAGTTGCATGACAGTGGCTTATGTGCAGAACAGTGTGGTCGACAAGCTTAGGGATGCCTTCGCAGAGGAGAGGTAGAGACAAAGGAGCACTGTTCATTTTCGTTGAAATCTGATTCAATTCAGGCTTTAGGTAGTTCAAAATGACAATGATTTTAAAAAAAGAAAAATACTTATTTTTGCACCACCTCCCTGATTTTTCAGGATTCTTCAGTGTTTGGTCCATCTTTGCTGTTTCATGGACACAACTACAGCTGGCAGAACCCCCCAAAGATGGATCTGGTTGGACTATGCAGAGCCAGCCCCATGTAGATTCAGGGTGCAGCAAAGTGACAATTGCTCTTTGGTCTTTCTAGGGTCAGACAGCGTAGCCTCTCCTTGCTCTGTTTCAAAGAGAAGAAACATGGATAAACGCTTTTTTTTCCTTAGTATTCTGCCTAGTGAAAGGTCTCTCAGTTATTGGAGCTCTTTCCAGAATGGAGCTGCAGATTGAGGGAGACTTAAAAGACTCCAGACATGTTGCACTGCATTCCCTGGGTATCATTCTCTCTCCCACCTGGGGGAAGGAGAATTTAGAAGAATTCCTGTTTTGCCATCACGGGGGAAATACACTGTGTGCAAAGACTGTGTCTATGGAGTTTAAATCCCCTCTTCTCATCAGCGATAGAGAATTGCTTCTCTGTGGCTGAACCAAAAAGGGTCTGAGCAAACTCGGAGACATTGTCTCCATGTACTTTATTCCAGGACTATAATGCAGCACATTTTTCCTGCCTGGATAAATGGTTTTCAGACTTTGTGACAGAAGAAGAAATGGAGGAGACAGAGCAATTTCAGGTTAATGCCTGAAAAATGTCTCTGACAACACTGAGAGCTGGGACACAAGAGTCTGGAAGATGCACAGTGGGGCTCCCAAGCCTGCCTGCCGCTGCTGTCCCTGCCAGGGGGACTGGTTGGAGACCCCATCTCTCCCTGCTTTGCAGGTGTTCACGCTGCATGCTGTTCAAGGGTCCTGTGTTGCCCAGCTGGGCTTCTCCAAAGGAGTCATCCAGCCGTGTTGCTCTTTCCTTCTAACTCAGGCAGAATTTGAACCAAAGCTCATGTTTGAGGTGATGCCCAGAGCTACTGGGGAAGGTCAGACCAGATCCACACCTGAAAACTACTGCTCCATCATGCACCTCCACTGTGCCAAAACCAAGCCCAGGCCCGAACACTGTGATCTCCCCAAAGCAGATGCTTCTCTGTGACACGCTGGAGGTGGTTCCTGGCACTAGGATGGCTGCTCTGGGGTCAGCTCTGCACGGGTCTGTGGCACTCTCCCACACTTCTCCTTACCATGTGCCCCAATTTCCCTCAGACCCCTGCGCAGAGCCATCTCTCTGGCACAGGACCGCAGGCGTCCTCCCTCCCTTGGCCACCAGAGATCTGCTCCAGCCAGCCCCACCCTGGCAAATGCAGCAAAGCCAGGAGGCAAACACACACCTTGCATAAGCCAGGCATTTAAGGTCTTTACACGTGAGGGTGGATTTTCCTCCCTCTCCTGGGAGTCTAATAAGAAGCCTGTGCGCTGTGAGACTTTCAAAGGCAGCAGACAGGACCATGCTGAGAGTAGCTTTAACACTGGCCTGAGTTCAAGTCAGTAACTGTGCTCAACATTGCTTGACCCCACCAAAAAGAACATCCAGGACTGAAAACAACGTGGTCAGATGGAGGAAAAGTTTTGGAAGGATCATTGTGTGCTTCTCAACAAGGATGAAGAAAATGAGCTGGTAAGGAATGGGGAACAGCGCTGGGCTTTGGTTTCCTTATGCACCTCTTTTCCCACATGCCCATATTGGATATGCCTCCACTTCTTCACCTTCACTCCCCATTTGGGCACTGTGAAGGCAAAAACCTGGATTAGCCCTTGCTGACTTTTTGAGATTGATTTTTGCAAAGTAAGGGCTAAATGAGGAACATACTACTTAAGTCCAGAGGCACAAAACATGGAAGAGACCTCTTTGTCTACCAGAAGTCATCTGGCCAGGGAGCAGCATCCCTTTCCCCACTGTCTTTTCCATCCTAATTGTGAGAATCTCTACTGATGGGTACACTTTCCCTTACTGGCTCATCTTGTATCAAAAAGCAAGTCATAGGGAAAGTGCTTACAAATGAGTTTTATGATGGACAATTGGCTGAAGTAGGGATTAAATCACTTTTCCTGAAATGTAAGGGTCTGCTGCTTACCAGGTCTAGGAAGATTGGGCAGATGACCAAAGTCTACCATGGCTCTCATGGCAGGAATCCCTTGTTTCTTGGTCTTCTACGGCAGCTTTTATGGAGCTGCTCTGTCTTTACAAGGTTTTTAAATTAATGTTAATTGAATCTACTCTCTGTCTTTGATTGTGATTGATTATTGATTATGTGCAGCAGCCTGGAAGGGCTGTGCTAAGTAAGTGCTTTGCAAACACAATGAGTTGGAAACTCTTCCTTTCCCTGCTAACATGGAGTGATTACATAGAGTGTGGTGAGGGTGGGAGTAAGACTTTCTCCTCCGGCTTTCTGTGCAAGGAACAGATGAAATCCAGATATTTCCAGTGCACAGAGTGGGCACAGAAGTAGATGCCTCTGCACAGGTGTAAAATACAGTCCTGTCACTCCTGTATTTGCTAGAGAGATGTATGTGCTGCATGCACTGGAAGCACAGCAGCATGCTCCCCTAGGACAGGAGTCTCTGTCCTCTGCAAGCAGAGGCTGCTAGCGGGTGCTTCCCAGCATCTCCAGTGTCACTGCCCAGCCTTGGGGACTGAGAAGGTGCCTCCATTATGGGGATGCAGGTGCTCAGGGCATGCACAGGTGGGAGAGATCCTGCCCCACAGAGCACACCTGCACCTCTGTATCAGGATTGCTTGCAGGGCTACTAATAGCGGTGGGGCTTCAGCTTTCCTGGTTGCCTTCAGTAAATTCCTGCTGGGATTTGGCTGGTGCTCAGGTAAGCTTGTTTTAGACTAGGATGCTTAGGCCAGTTGCAGCAGCCTGGATCCAGCACAAAATGAAAAATCTGCTGTGGGAGACAGGTAAGGGGTCAGCTAGGGATCATCTGTGTCATGCTGATTGCTACAGGCAGTGTTCTTCAGCGGGTCACTAGCTGATGTGTGGATATGGCCCTCAATGCCTGCCTCTACTTGCATAAGAAGCAATGGGGATGCCAGCTCCCCGATGAGGATGGAGGGCCAGGGTGGATGGATGGGTGGAGTGAGGCTGTTGCCACAAGCAGCCTTTTAGCTGGGAGTCTGTGCACCCCAGATGAGCTGTACCCGCTTCCAGGAGACGCCTCTCTTGCCCCATCCAGCTTGTGGCTGCAACCCTGCTGGCAGAGGAGGGCCCTGGCTCTGTCCCTGATGCAGCTGATACAGCCTGCCTTGTGTCAGGCTGAGTAGTTGTCATGGTTTAACCCCAGCCAGCAAATAAGCACCACGCAGCTGCTCACTCACTCCCCCCCCCGCAGTGGGATGGAGGAGAAGATCGGGAAAAGAAGCAAAACCCGTGGGTTGAGATAAGAACGGTTTAATAGAACAGAAAAGAAGAAACTAATAATGATAACACTAATAAAATGACAATAGCAATAATGAAAGGATTGGAATGTACAAATGATGTGCAGTGCAATTGCCCACCACCTGCAGATCGACACCCAGCTAGTCCCTGAGTGGCGATTCCCCGCCCCCACCTCCCAGTTCCTAAACTAGATGGGACGTCCCATGGTATGGAATTTCCCCATTGGTCACTTTGGGTCAGCTGCCCTGGCTGTGTCCTGTGTCAACTTCTTGTCCCCCTCCAGCTTTCTCGCTGGCTGGGCATGAGAAGCTGAAAAATCCTTGACATTAGTCTGAACACTAGTTAGCAACAACTGAAAACATCAGTGTTACCAACATTCTTCACATACTGAACTCAAAACATAGCACTGTACCAGCTACTAGGAAGGCAGTCAACTCTATCCCAGCTGAAACCAGGACAGTAGTGTTTTATCGAATCCGTCTTCCTAAAGTCCTGTTTGCCGGAGCAGCCTTGCTTCCAGGTATTGCACTTCCTGGAAAACTTTTCTTACTGCAGACAGGCTCAGTGGGGTAAATCAGCCATGAACATGGGTTCCCTCAGCTCTGGCTTTCAGTGCTGTTTCCTAAGCACTCTGTGAATGCCGTGTGTATTCTCTGAGAACAGGCTGTGCGCTAACACAGACTGCCTTTGTACCTCCTCTCTTGTGTAGAGCGATGCAGTTGATCGGCCACGTGTTGCAGCTGTATGGGGACTGACGGGACCAGCCAAGGCCACCCTGCTGGCCCGGGGCACTCGGGCTCCTGCCTGGCCCCGAGTTGGCACAGGGGTGAGGACCTGGCATGACCCAGCTGTGCTGGGGTCCTGCAGCCTCCAGGAAGGGGCACGTCCCCAGCACCCCGGGTGTCAGGAGGTCACAGCACAACTCCGCTTATTTAAACCATCCCTTTTAGACATGTACAGTGTACTTCTATTAATTATCTTCCATCACAGCTAATGCGTTTTTGGGTTCCTCAGTTGCTGTGCTTAACATACAGCTGTACGCTAGAGCCCCACTTGCTGGCAACAGCCGGTGTTCGGCTCCTGCTAGAAACCCCCGAATGCTCTCGGTGGGTGACTCCCGGCCTTGCGCTCACCCAGCCCTGACACCGCAGCTCTTCCCCAGCCTTCCCTCCACTTTTGGCTGCGGATTTGATCCTCTCCAGTCCCTTTGGGGTGATGGATGAGTTGTGGTCCCACGCACCTCCTGTCATTCCGGCCACCCCCATAACAGGCTGCTTGTTTTCCAGGCCTGCATCTGGAGTGTATTTATAAAAACCCTGCTATGAAAAGGCAAGCCAATGAAAATCTCCTTGAATTTCCTTGTTTGTGGATGCTGTGGTTTGTCCTCCCACCCTGAAAACAGCATTTGTATTTATTGATTTAAACTTCTGTGGCCTCCATGGGAGTAATATTTTGTATACAGTAGGGCTGCACATCTAAAAGCTACAGAGCTGGTTTGAAATGGATTTTGCTAACCTGGTATAAGGGCTGCATGATTGTCTTTATTTCAGTTAAGCTGCATTGATTTCAGCTTAGTTTATGTTGATTATGATCAGAGTTCAGATAAATCAAGTTAATGGCTCTCTTAAACTAAATAGGTGCTTACTCCACTGCCTTTAAATCACTTGAAAATTTTATTTGAAGTTGAACCAGTACAATTTTCTGTAGAAGCCCTCTCCTAGGAGCACTGCTTTGTTGCAAACTCTTTCCTGTAAAGCACCAGTTATCCTTCCGGCATTTCTTTGTCATATATTCCAGATGTGGGACTTCCTCATTTTTATTCTTCTTGTTTATAATTTAAACCACCATTTCCTCCCCCTCCTCTCAACTGTGTAAGCCACGTCAATAGGTTACACTATCCCATGGCATTGTGTACTTTAGCTGGCAAGCTATTCTGGAAAAACATTCAGTGTAGTCCCAAGCAGACATACAAAACCCTTTCCTTTTACTTCCTACCTCTGCCCACGTCTGCAGGGTCACTTGATACCTCCCCAGGGGCAGGTGCTGCCCGGTGGGTGGGTAACTGTTATGTGGTCAGGGTTAGGTATCTCACCTCCGCCATTGCTCCTGCAGCTCCTTGCACAGGCCTGTCCTGCAGCACCCACGAGCAGTGGGCGGCAGGCAGCGTGGGTGCTGGTGCGGGGGCGAGGGGCCAGGTTCGGGCAGGGCAGCACCGCAGCCGCTTTTGCTTCTGGTGCCACTGCTGCCGCTTGCTCCTGAGCAACTGCGCTCTCCTGCCCTTGTCCCTCGTCATCAGCCCTAGGGAAAAGTTGCAGGGATTGCCTGGAGCTGGGCTTTTTGGAGCGGGAAGAAAGCTGAGAAGTGTCTGGGAAGTGCCCTATATAGGGAAACAAATGGATCACGGCAGCTGGAATGGAGATACCTGATGAAAAACAATTGTCGAGGGGTGGTGTGGGGCGGGTTGCGTTGTTTTGTTTGGGTTTTGGTTTTTTTTCAGCAGTGGGTGCAACACAAAAAATTAAATGTCTTTTACTGAGTTTTCATTTCAGCCTTAAAACAAAATTCTTTTTCCAAATAAACTTTTATACAATCTACCATAGCACGGATGGCACAACATGAGGCCCGTGGTGGGGGCTGCCTGGGTTCCTGCCTTGATGCCTATGGGGAAGCAGAAAGGGACACTCACACGGCTGCTGAGGGGGTGGGTGGGTGTAGGGTGGCAGGGCCAGGGTGGCACCTACCACGGCTGCTGTCTCAGTGCTGTGAGAGCTGTGGCCAGGCTGGATGTGAGTGACAAAGGGTTGGCATCCCTGGGTGCTGTGAGCTACCAGCTGTGGATGGAGCTTCTCCCCCCTTCCCTCATGCCCTGCTGGGTGCTGAGAGGGCTGGGAAAGCACCAAGCGTGTAGGGAATGATCCAGTTATGCTACAGGCATTGAAGTTATTGTTAGCCCATGGGTAGGTTTAAAGCAAACCAAAGGGTACAAAAATCCAGAGTTCTTCTCAAGTGGAAAAACTAAAGCTATGAACTTAACGATCTTCACAGGCAATGGAGCATCACTGAATAGATGACTACTGGGCCATCAAAATGAAAGGGCAAGTAGGGAAGATGACAGACAACTTGGGGAATAAGTTGGAGGAAGAGAGTGTACAGAGCAAAAAGAGCCCTTCCATATTTGTTTTCAAGATAAGGTGTACATGGTGAAAGATAACACACCAATAGGCATGGTACCTGGTACCTGGGAGGTGTTCCTTGGGGCTTGGCAGCTTTCCTTCCCTGAGGCAGATTCTGTGTCCCTGCTGCGAGGTAGATTTCAGCAGTCAGCACTATGTTCGCATGGAGACATCCTCGGTGGCAGGCAGGGCTGTTTGGTGCTAGCACTGCAGTTAGAGAACTGTTACCATGAAGGGTCAGCTGCAGTCTTGATGGTAAAAGCTCCAGACTGGAGTTAATTCTTCGTTAATCCTGGGAGAGCTGATTTGAGAACGCTCCTCTGCCGGCAGCAGCCCAGCAGCATCCTCCTTTCAGCAGCTCTGCTGTATTCTTAACTATGTCACATCAATCAGCAAACTCTCATTTCCAAAAATGACCTTGGGCAGTTATGAGGTAAGGCTTCAGTCACCAGCCTTTCTTTTCAATAAGCTTGTGTTTCCTGATGAACAAAGACCAGGGTCAAACTTGTTAACAAAGAATGCTTTCTCTTTGCTGTTCAGGAGATTTTTGGCTACAAAACTCAAGGCTGCCGAAAGGCCTTGTGCATTGCTGGATACATCTTGTCCTGTGGGGCTCTGCTGCTGCTCTTCTACTGGAAGCCAGAGTGGGATGTGTGGGCAAACTGCACCCGCTGCAGCTTGGAAGAAGCGGACATTGTTCTGCTCAGAACAACAGTAGGTGAACCCTCGTAGCCGATGATTGTTATTTGCAGATCCTATTGTTTTCACAGATAGGGCAGCCAGTCTGTCTTTGTCTGCATGATGTAGCAGGTTAATAACACCTTCCACTTTGGAAGTGGAGCGGCAGGGGCGAGTCAAGCTTCAGAGGACCAAGCATTTTTATTTGCAGAGTTTGAAATACTGTGTAAAAGACCATATTTACACTAAAAAGGCTGCAGCCACTCTGCCTGAAGGCTGGGCACGGAGCAGGCTTCAGGCAATGCTGCTGCCCATCCACAGGCTCCAGCAGCTGCCCTCTGCCAATGACATGTTCCATAAAACAGCTCTGCCTCTTCCCTTCCTTTATGTGCATGGGGTGCAGCCAACTGACTTCAGTGGAGGGATCGTCTTCGGAAGTTGTGGCTGTTAGTAGCCTTTCTGCTTTAAAGTTATTGGGGAATGCTGAGGAGATAGGTTTTAGAGATCTGGGTTTCAGGCATTAGTTATATTCTAAGACTCCATGACTGTAAATTAAAACCCAACGTAATTCTAGCAGAGCAAACGCTTAAGACACTTAATGCTCAACGTTGCAATGATATTACTAAAATAAATGCACTCAAACCACTGAATGAGTAATCTATTGCTCATTGTAACTAGGTACGGTAGACTAAACTGATTAAAGGACAGTCTGACAAAGGCATGTATAGCAGTAAAGCTGAGTTGCTTTTGGCTATGGATGTATAGCAAGTAACACAGCATTATAGGAGCTTTGTAGAGCAAAGTAGCTGTTGCTGAGGACTCAACGTCCGCACTAGAAGTGTTTTAGAAAGCTTTTACTTCCAACTAGCTCTAGTCTGATCCCATAGACCGAATATCCACCCAGTAGCTATTGAAGCACATCTTCTGGTTTAGTTTCATCTTCCCTGAAATTGCTCTGCAGCATGAACCAAAGCAAATGGAGATGATTGCGAGAGTGACTTCGAAGTGCTTTACTGATTGGTACTAAAACACTGATACCAACATGCCTGTTACTATGGACTTACATTTGCTATGATTGCAATGATGTCACAGTACTGTAGTTCTCTGGAAATCTCATATATACTTCCCAGAGACAGGAAATGTTATCACAGGCAATATTTGGGGCTCATGACTGAACTGTGCTCTATTTCTCTAGGATGAGTTTCAGAGGTACAGCCGGAAGAAAGTGACCTGGATTGATTTGTCCACATTGGCTCTACCTGTTGGTAGTGATTTAGGTGGTCCTCTTGTAGCTGATAAAGACTCTGTCATAAACAGAGCTGTAATGAAGCCACAGTTAAAGGTATGTCATCTATAAAATGGAGAAGAAAGATGGCAGGGAGGGGGTGTGTGGAAATAGGAGTCGGGGCACCTGGAGGCTCCCAAGGGTGCTCTGTCAGCATCTTCCTGCAGATCTTGTTTACATAAGCTCAAGTTTTCCCCTAAAACACAGGGAAGCATTTCTGTAACAGTGAGATGGTTTTCCCTTGAATGGCAAATGAATTTTTGCTATTTGGTCTTGCAGATCAGATGTATCCAGGTGCAGAAAATCCGTTATATTTGGGACTTTTCTGTAAAAGAATTCAAGAAAGTTGGGTGAGTGTCAACAGCCTGTCACAAAACCCTTTGTGGTAGGGGACTCCCTTGTCTGAACTTTCTCCTGTTACCCTAGATCATTAGAAGACAGCAACACATGTCACAGCATACACCACAAGTTTGGAGCTGGCCTCACAAGGGAAGAACAGAAGATCAGGTACTGTCTACATACAACTAGATAGATGTATGAGCTAATTGTGACAGTGTGACCTATTAATCCTTCCTTTCAAATTCATGTGAGCTTCTTGCTACTCATCTTAGTAAGGCAGTGCAAACTCTGTGGGTGACATTTGGAAAGGTGCAAAATCATTATCCCTCACACTTTATTGAGCTCATTATCTTCTCAGTGATGCCACAGACTGAATATCCATCTGGGGAAAACGCCACTGGTTCCACCTGGGGTTCAGGGCACAGCAAGCCATGACTGTCAGTCTTTGCCATTTTCCCCTTAAAAGGCCTCTGGAAAGCTCATCAAAGGGTTTAGCAGCAAACTGACAATCTTTTCAGCAAGGAAACAGTAATATTCTGCCTCTGTGTAAAGTCGTCTCGGAGACACTACCTTCCTGACAGGTTTATTTGCCCTGCTCAGCCATATGGTGCCCCCAGGACTTACTTTTTAGATAAGTGTTAATGTTATTTGGGTGCCCAGTTTTCCACATGAAGTCTTATCCTACATGACTAAGCTATAACATGGTGAACTCTTCTCTACCTTCCTGCAGGCAGCTGGTGTGTGGGCCTAATGCCATCGAAGTTGAAATTCGTCCTATTTGGAAGTTACTTTTTAAAGAGGTCAGTAAGTCAGACTGGCACTTGGTGGGACAGGTTTGAAGTGTTTTGAAGGCTTTACCTGGGCGTGCTGGGATGGGGTGATTGATGCTTCATAGGCATAAGCCATGGAGGAAAGTTGGTGAACATCCTTTATGGCTATTAGCACACATTCCTGGCAGAAGGTTAAAGGGAAGAATATGACGCTAAGAGGATGCTTGGTGCTGCATACTTATGACAGCTAAATGTTTCCCTGATGATGACTGTGTCCCTTCTTGGAGAGCAGTAGTGTGGGGGACTGATGTCCTCCTCCTCTGCTGTAGGCCCTTAATCCTGAGTGAACATCTGCCATGAACAGGGACATCTTGCCTCATGACTGAGCAGCGACATGCACCTGGAGTGCTCGTGCTTTCTGCAACTACTAGGACTGACCATAACCACATCAGTAACTCTGTCTTTTCATGCAGCCTCTTGATAATGATCTGCAGTGAAAATTTTATGCCTACAACTAAGGCAGACTTGTTCCTCTTTAATAGCATTGTTTTAGTAGTCCAAAAGTAGCACAGAGCATTGTACAAGCTTGCTTGTGAGCACAACTGCAGTTTAAATCAGGAGTGTGCTTTAGAAGGGAGGAAAACATTTGCAAAATTCCTATTTTATAATTGCCTTGTTCACCTAGTAACTTCCTTTTCTCCTATGCCATAGACGCAAGACATTTTTTTTCATGCATAAATAAGGACACACTGCTAAGACTGTTCTTCCTCTACAGGGGACAAAACACGTCTTGTGGATAAGAGGAGAGACGTGTATAGATGGTTACTTGTTGGGTTTGCATATAGAAATGCTGGACATACATTTTTGCCAACCTGTAAGCAGAGGCTTTGCATGCAGGATACTGTCTTGTCATCTGTGTTCACTTTAGTGAATTGTAGATGCTACGTGAATGTCTTTAAAATGGAAAAGAGCTATGAATGCTGGGACTCGAAGCTAGCATGTGTCTGAACTTTAAGTAGAGTTTGTTTGAAACCCTACAAAACACATGAAAAGCTCCAGGGCTCCTGAAATGGGTTGGATTTGATGTTACCAACCTTTCAGTGCCCTCTGGAGATGGTTTTGAAGAGAACTCCAGTGTAGCACTCTAAAAAGTTTATTTAATTTGAACTTTGCACTTCCATCCAAGGCTGAAGCTTCATGTTTGAAATATTAATGGTGGTGCCTGGAGGCAGACTGGTCCTCATAAGCTTGTGATATTTCAGTCCAGATACAGCTTCAGTGTCCGAAGACTGGCACCCTGATTTAGTGTCTGTCTCTGTCCTAGTGAATGTCAAAAAAAGTATTAAATTTTCATTGAGGGACCAAATTTGCCAGATGAATAATTCATTTCAGTTCCAATCTTTATGCAGAAAGCTCTTTCAGTGGCTGTTTTAGTTATACCAGTTCTACAGAAAAGTCTGTCATTCCTTCAGACCAGTCAAGTGGCAGGCTCTGAAAAACTTCATCTAATTCTTTTGTTGTTAGTTAGATACCACAATAACCAAAATTATATTCTCAAACTTAAGTGGGGCTTGTGCCCTGTTTTAGCATAACACATTAAAGTGAGTGATGACTGGTTTTGTAAGGCTGACACAATGTGGAGTAGCTAAAAGTATGAAGTATGAGGAAATCAAGCCTTCATTTTAGCTGTAGTCTAAGACTGATTACTGATGGCACCACAGACCATTAGTTCTTCTTTACCATTTTTCTTTTTCCAAATAAATATCGTATTCATAGTGACTTTTTTGAAATCACAAAGTATTAAAGACTTTTAAGGTAATTCAGTCCTTTTTTTTTTCCACATGTGGGTAGTGTCTCGTGTGTAGGAATTACTTAGAATCAGAAATGTTAAGGTCACCTTTGTTAGATGGCTATGGTGGGAAACCAACTGATTTAAAGTCCCTTAAGTCTGACTTTAAGTTGCCAGCGTAGTTGCTGCTGAATAGTAACTGGTTAGCAACAGCTTTTAATTACAAACACCACAAACTACATGTAAGCTGATAAGTTCAGAGCTGGAGGCTATTAATGCTCAAAAACAGCCATGAAAGAATGCTGCCTTGGGATGGCAAAACAACACTTTAAATTGGCGTTTAAGACTCCTGGACACTGTAATGAGATGTTCTCACCTTTTCCCACACTTGATCTCTCCTGACATGTTATGACCATCCCCTGACGTGTGTAACATTTGCGTTTGCAGATTTTAAACCCCTTCTACGTGTTCCAAGCCTTCACCCTCACGCTGTGGCTGAGCCAAGGCTACACTGAGTATTCAGTGGCCATCATAATCCTGTCGATCATTTCTGTTGGCTTAACCGTGTATGACCTCAGACAGGTGAGTCTGCTGTGCAGCCTGCCAGCTCCCCATCCTGCACTCTGCTAGCAATTTCATCTATCACAGACACAAGTAGCTATTTATATGCTCTTTCTGGTTATTTTTTATTGCTGTGTATTCTGCTGTATTACTACAGATTTATTGCTATAGAAGAGTTAAAAGGGTCGTACCTGGGGGTCTTGAACTTCCCAAGAATTAAAGAGATTGAAGTATGATACCTGGGGCTTGTAAGACTTTATGAAGGTGGACTATATGTGTGAGTCTGCTTCTTACTGTAATTTCAGGAGGATTCACTCCTCTTAAGGCTTGCTAAATAACAGGTTTTAACAGAAAAAAAACCCATGACTTTTTATGTCTCAAATTTGTTCAACATTTCTGTCATGGATGCAGCTGCTTGGAAGAATTTTCTAATAATCTCAACTCATTCACTTTTTGACCTAAAGCGCTCACCTGTGATAAACCTGAAGCCTTCAGTCTCTATGGCAAAGGCAAATAGGCTGAGCTGAGCCTTACACAATGTTTGCCTGCCATTGAGTATCCTCATGCAGTCAGCTGAGGTTCCTGGTGCTTCCTGCTGGAATTGCAGAACACTCTCACTGGGAATTTGGAAAACACTTCCTTGATTTCTGAACCCAGTTTAAATACACAGGGAAGGCAAAAAAATCACTTGGAGAAAGGATATAATAGGGAAAAAAGATAAACTATGTGAATGAAAGTACAGGTGGGAAAGAGCGATAGGAACAGGAGTCTGGCAGGCAACATTTTATTCTCTCAGGTCTGGATATTAGGTATTGCATTCCTCTGTATTGTTAAGATTTAAAAGCAAAAATGAACGGTGGATTCCTGAGTCCTGGTAAATATTTTTTTAGTCTTCAGGAAAAATGTAAGGATTAGAGGACAGCACTGAGAATTACAGTTTCTGCAGACAGTGTGATGTGATTAGGGGTGGTGGCAGGGGTGAAGGGACAGCAGCTCTGGGGTGCACTGGCCTGACTGTCATGCTCATGTGCTGTTTCAGAGCCAGGCACAGCTCACATTGCCTCCAAATTCACTGCTAAAATCATTGTTCCTCCACTGAATTACTGGGGAAGGGCAAGATTCAGCCCTTTGAAAGGTTCCTTGGGAAGGTGGTATAGCAAACATCTCTGTGAAGTGCTGCTCAGGGGGAGACAATAACTTGCCCTTCCAGGAGCTGGCTTTTGTTCGAATTGACTCTGCTTTTCCCTGGGCTGGTAGAGGCACACAGCACATTCCCCGTGTAGGTCCCAGGCCCCGAGACTCGTGGGACTTTGGGCAGTATGTGCTCACCGGTGCGCTGTGCTGACGAGGCACTCCTGCACACCTTCTGCCCTGCCAAGGGCATGCTTTTATTGCTGCCTCACACTGATCTCAGCAAAGGCTTTGTGAATAGCTGGGGCATTTGCCAGCACAGGTGTGTTGGCTACGCATTGCGTTTTTGTATCTCTGACTAATATCTGTAGGATGACTAGCACTCCCATGTTAAACAAGCGCTCGCATCTCTTTGAGCGCAACTTTGTACTTAAAGTGTTGTTGTCTGTCCTGGTATTGCAGAGCACGAAGAACAGATATGGTCCGTTCAGCTTTCTTTGGCAAGGCTGGTTTTATTGTGCGACTGATAATTTTGGCAGGAAGAATTACAATGTTTGGGGCCTCCGGATATTCTTCAAACTGGCTTGACATCTTCACATGAACAATGCTAATGAAGAAATCCATACTCGGGGATTAGTTTTTTGCAATTGCAACTTTTAAATCAAGATAAGGCATTCTCTCTAATGGCCTTGCAATGACAGTTGACTTCATCATTATCTCAGGATATGTAATTGTCGGAATTAGATTGCAGAAACTGGCAAAGCGCAGACACCCAGCTAAATTAGAATTTCTGTTTTTCTTCTTGCAATGGCAGTTTTGTAACAAAAGCCTTTACAACTTGGTTGTCCTGTTGGTAGCCTCCTAGCAAGGGTAAATCTGTTGAGCACAAAGAAACCCTTTACTAAGGGACTGTAGATAGCAATGTTGCAGCTAAGGAGACTTACTCTGGCACAAAGCAGGAATGGCCCCTTGAAGGCTGAGGGAGGTACAGCGGCATGAACTGGAAGCAAACAAAATTAGGTCCATGTTCCCATGGCAGCTTGTTCTAGGTTAACTCAATGAACTCGCACCCTGACTTCTAACAAGTGATGTGAAACCTCCCCTGGATAACTCAGCAGAATTCAGTTTCTGTGATGTTAGCATGTTCACTGAATTGTAACCTACTGCTTCGCTTGAGTATTGGTGTTTCAACACTGCAATTGCTTTCCATCAACAGCAGTCTACCAAGCTGCATGACCTCGTTGAGGAGCATAACAAAGTCCAGGTTACAGTCTGCACGAAGAGCGAAGGTGAGTCATCTGTGTCTCATTTTCCTCACCAGCCTATATAATTAACTAATGTGTTGAAATGTATCTGGAATTGCACAGCTCCTGTTGATTTCTACTGCTGAAACATAGAGGGCGAGCTGCAGGGAGAATGGGGCAGAGGGAGGTGAGGCGGGCAGGGCAGTGAGAAGTGTGGGCACAGCCTATGCGGTGCAGTAATGATGCATCTGTATCATCATCGTCTGTATCTGCAGCATCTGTAATGATACAGGTGAACCCAGTAATTTGTGTTAAGAATTGAGAACAGCTTGGAAAATTTAATTTCACAAACAGGCAACTAGGTAACAACTCTGGCCTTCCGAGACCTGCTTCCCCTCTCAGCTATAGGCTACTTTCACAATCTTGTCAAGTAGCTTGTGAACGACTTTCAAGGAGTCTAGACGTATGGCTCCCACTGATGTATGCATTTTCTTTCCTGCATCTCAGTTTCTTGCCCATAAAATAGGGGTTATAGCTATTTTTGTCTCCCAAAGAGGTTGAGATGGGCAATTGCTTGGGTGATGGGAGATGTAAAGGCCTTGGATAGGTTTTCTTGGTCAGAGTGTTTTATGGACACTAAACAAATGAAACTGAAGACACCCACTTGGAGGGAGATATTTAGACAAGGGCTGATCTTTGCGCTGTTGTTTTTCAGCCAGTATTATTTCTAAGAAACACTGGCCTTAAATCATGAAATTTAGTGATGTTGCATGTGCCTTAAGACTTTTTTTTAATTGCCCAGAATGTGTGCACAAATAAAGTTCATTTTTGTATTGTTCTACAGGTTGTGAAGAGCTGGAGTCTTGTTACTTAGTCCCTGGAGACATGCTTCTTTTAGATGGAAAAAAGCTCTCTCTCCCATGTGATGCTGTCCTGATTGATGGAAGCTGCATTGTGAATGAAGGGATGCTCACAGGTACAGCCTTGGAGTTTGAAATGCTAAGGCCCTGTGCAGGTTGTCTGTCAGGGAGATATCTTTATCTATTCTGACAGCAAATTGTTTACTATTTATTAGAATAGTTTGCAGCAGGAGGTGGAAAAACTGTGGCTTGAATAATTCACACTTGTCTTGGGCTTTTGAACGTTGCCATTGTGTAATATGCATTTCTTATCCACATTAAAAACAAGTAGGATTAATATACTGTCAGGAGTAGAAAGTGAAAATACTCAAATACACTGAATATGTATTTTCTGAGTTTTTGGATTAGAATCATAGAATCATTTAGGTTGGAAAAGACCTTTAAGATCATTGAGTCC